GGGGGGGGTGAGGGTGCATTTGCGCTTTCTGCCGCTTCGGTTCTGACGTTTTTTTTTTTTTTTTTTTTTTTACCCCACGCGTTTTCCTGAAGGTAATTTATAATGATCTCAATTATTTTCTGAGCCATGTTAAATTACAGGTGATTTTAACGCCGTGTTTCGAGGCACAAGGAAAGAAGGAAAGAAAAGAAAATTAATTTTCAACAGAATGCCATACACCGAAGCTTTCATCATGGAGGTCCAGCGAGCGTCGACCCTGGGTCCCCTCGGAGTGTCGCACACGGCGACGGCGGACGTGGACTTCGGCGGTTACCGATTCCCCAAGGTAATTTTTTTTTTTTTTTTGGAGGCTGCCGAAGGTCGGTTCATGCCGAATGTCTTGTGTCGTGCGGCAGGGGACGATGTTCATGCCGAATATCTGGTCGTGCCACATGGATCCCAAGTTCTGGCCCGACCCCGAAAGGTTCGACCCGGGAAGATTTCTCAATCCGGATGGATCCTTGAAGGCGAAAGTTCCCAGCTACCTCCCCTTTGCCCTCGGTCCGTCCTCCTCGGTCCGCCCCCCTCGGTCCGTCCCCCTTTAATAACGCGTTACGTCGAATAGGGAAGCGGGAGTGCCTGGGAGCGTCCTTGGCCCGGATGGAGCTCTTCTCCTTCGTCGCCATCCTCGTGCAGAAATTCGCGTTCCTCCCGCCGCCGGGCCGACCTCGTCCCAGAGCGGAGGGCGTCGGCGGGATCTTCCTCAATCTGCCGAAGCCTTATCGGTTCGTGGTGAAGGAGAGAAGTCGTTGAAGCGGGGTGACGATTTTGCAACCGATTGCAGATTTGCAATAAAAAAAAAAAATGTTTCGTTTTGGCGTTTCAGTCCGAATGCGGCGCTTTCTTCCAAACCGGAAAAAAAAAATTAAATAAATTTTTTAAATTTAATTAATAGGGGAAAAATTGAGAAACTTGAAGGCAGGGGGAGCGGAAAATTAGGGGGCAAAAACGTGCGAACCTTCAGAATGACCTTAAGGGCCCTGGAGGTCCATTAACGCTGGACGGGGGAAACGTGAGATCGATTCAAAGACGAAATCCGCGAAGATTTCAGCTCTGTTTTTGCACAGCCGTTCCTCGAGGCTCGCCAAAAATTTCGCTTTTAAGCTGAGGAGAATGGATAGGAGGAAATTCTTCTTGCCGACAGCGATTCTCGCATTTCCGAGCCGCAACGGAACGAATGGCACGAGCCGGAAAGCAAAGAATTAAACTTATTTAATTAAATTTAATTAAATTTATTTATTTTTTATTTATCAAAAAATGTAATAAAAATAAATCA